TATTCTTCGCATCTACGTCCTTCTATGATAGTATTGGTAGGCTTCATTTTGTCTTATCGACGCACAGTTTTAAAGAATAAACAAACAAAAAATTCCCTGACCCCATCGCCGCACATACGGCAAAATAGGTACTTTACAGCGACAAAACCATATTTTTTTATTCAAACTAAGCAAAAAAAAACACAGCTAGTAGAATTCTATAAGTAACTCCCCATTTAAATCCGTTTATATTTTTTTCGAATGATAATTTATAAAAGCGCAGGCGGCTTTGCAAGCAGACATGCCTCGCGCGACTATCACGCTAACCTGGTTACGTCAGAATATGTCACAGTTACAGTTAGTATTTGTATCGATTTCAAAGTATTTTTTAAGTAGTTTTTCTAGATGGATCCTATAGCTACAGGTATGTACTACTAAGTTATTTTATGTAATCAATTATTTTTTGATTGGTAGACTAGGTTTCAAAGCAAATTTCAAATGAATTTATTTTCTGAAAATTTTTGGAAAACGTCATTTTGGAGTTAGAATTACAACAAAGTTCCGCTTAGTACCACATTTTTTGTAGTTTATGTTGTTGCTCTGTCTTTGTATAATAAATAAACTAAAATCTAGCTATCCCAAATCATCCTTTTAACATATCTGCATTTGTTTGCAGGTAGTGGGAGTGCGCCTAATTTTAAGAAAATTGGTGTCAGCAGGAATGAACTTTTTGCAATCTTAAAGAGTGTTAATTTTTATAAACAATCATCATCGCAGTGCAATGAACATTTAGTTAGTTATATTAAGGACAAACTGAGTATAGATAAACTTTCCAAAATATCAGAAAATCGGTTAAGTGGTAAAAGTGTTTGTGTCTAAACTTTTAACAAAATGGAAACAAAGCCATCACATTGAAGCAAGGTTTATGAAAAAAAATACTTATTGGATAGCAGGAGCGGTAAACTTCCCAAATTTACAATATACTGTCTCTACGCCAACGACATCGACACAGGGACGACCGAAAAGTTATTCAGTCAAAATGCAAGAGATCGCAGCAGAGGGAAATCAGGCCTATTGTTTCGGAATTGTGTTCTGAAAAACTTGCGTATGCAGTTGAATCCAGTTTAGTTAAAAGTGGTAAAAGAACTGCTGCAAAAGTAGTAAATCTTGCTTTATCATCAACACCAAAAAGATTAAAAAAAAATGAAACAAGTCCATGATTCATCTTCAACCTTTACTATGGACCTATATACCCCGGAAGAAGCACTCGGACTTATAGTAGACTTAGGATTAACTAAAGACGACTACATAACACTTCAAAGAAGGGCAAAAAGAAAGGGTGCTAATATATATCCTTCATACCCTGCTATTGCTGAAGTAAAAAAAAATGTTACCCACCAGGTATGTTTATCACAGAGACAGAGGCGACAATTCCATTACAAAACCTGTTGGATTTAACTATTAGTCGGCTAGCACATATTCAATCAGAAGTATTGCTGCAGAATGTTCCAGATGAAGTCATAAACATAAATGTTTTTTATAAGTGGGGTCTTGATGGTAGCGGTGGCCACAGTATTTATAAGCAAAACTTTGCTAACCATTCAGAATATGGCGATGCCAACATTATATTGTGTACAAATGTACCTCTAGAAATATCGATTCAATCTAGATCTGGAAAACAAATTTTTTGGAAGAATCGGAGCCCATCTTCTACCAGATATTGCCGTGTCGTAAGCTTTAAACTAAAAAAGAAACAAAAGAGACCATGAAAGAGGAGTACTTGGAGATTGAAAATCAAGCAAATAATTTACGGCCTACAAACATTTTCATTCATAGGTAACAAAGAACTGGCATTTAAACATATTTTGGTCTGCACCATGATGGATGGAAAACATGTAATGTGCTTACGGACACGGCCTCATCCCAAGCATGCAACGTATGCAAGGCCACACCCAAAGACATTAACAATATAGAAAAATGGTAAATATAGCGTGTGACTCATCTACATATAAATTTGGAATATCTGTGTTGCATGCATACCTTAGATGCTACGAGTACCTACTTCATATTTCTTATAAAATGGACAACAAAGAATGGCAGGCAAGAAGCCAAGAGGCAAAAGAAAGTGTTAAGAATAGAAAGAAAGCAATTACTTCTCAATTTACTCAGAAATGGGATTGGTTGTAGACCATCCAAAACAGGGAGGAGGCAATAGTAATGATGGGAATATGGCCCGCAAATCTTTTTGATAATCCAGTGTTAGTGTCGGAAATAACAGGTGTCGATAAAGATTTAATTTCCAGATTTGCAAACATTCTGAGTGCGATTTCAAGTGGGCAATCTATATTAATGAAAACAAATTTAAGATTTATTGTCTTGAAAACCGCTCAAATGTGTATACAGCTTTATGGATGGTACAAAATGAGTGCTACAGTACATAAGCTGTTGCTCCATGGAAGTGATATTATTCGGTCTTTTCCTCTGCCTATTGGGCAATTATCCGAAGATGTTTTAGAGGCCAGTCATAAGAGTTACAAAAACTTAAGGTTATTTCATGCTAGAAAAACATCGAGAATTAACACCAATACGGACATCATAAACTGGCTACTTGTTTCATCCGATCCGGTAATTACTTCTTTGTCGCAAAGATGTACAAAAAAGAGGAAACCGTTTTCGGCGGTAGTCATCGGAATGTTAAAAGAACCCGAATTTTTAGGACAAATGTATGTGGAACAAGCTGACGACTCTGACTCTGACATCCAAGAGGAAGAAAAACACATAATGCGAATAAATAAGGGATAAAAATTTATTTTACCCTTTTTCATTGTTTTCCTTCTTTGTAACAATTCCAATACACTGGCAAAAAATAATTTTAGGATTAAGTAAGACAATACGAATAAAAAAAAACTTTGAAAAATTTTTACACTACTAAATTTTATTCTTAAATCTACTTTCAACCTGTCTTTAAAATTCTTTTGACCAATTCTACCAAGGTAGATATGCAAGTAAAATTAAAGTTTCCATTCAGAATATTTCTTTTTTATAATAATAATTATATCTAGTTTATTACCGTAGGTATTGGTGGATTTGGAAATTTTGTTACACACTGTATATAAATTATAAGCCAAATTAGGTCTATGTTAGAAATATATGGTTAGTTCTGTACTAAAATATGCTTTGCATGTAAATTCTAAGTTAAATACCAAATTAAATCAATGAAAATGTTTTTGTCGCTGTAAAGTACCTATTTTGCCGTATGTGCGCCGCATCGGTGTCGATAGCTCATATCATAAACAGTTCATTTTGTTGTGCCGTCACAGTACAGCAAGTTAAATAAAAAGTTTTTAAACAAACAAAATACAAGAAGCAGAAAAAGGGGGCCAAAAAAAAAGTTTTTTGTTATTTGCGTGTTATTGCGTGTTAAAAAATGATAGTGAAAAGCAAAAGAAGGTATGTTAGGGACTTAGATTCCATAAAAACGACTTTAGCTCGATTAGAACGGAAAATTGGTCGCAGTAGTTCGTCGTCATCGTGTAGTAGTAACTCGGAATCTACAGGTAAGAAAATTGAAAATTAGCCTGGCACTAATAATGACTTTTATAGTCGCTAAACTTTTCACAAGCTCCGTATTATTAGCTAAAAAAATCTTACTCAAGGAAACCTTAGTCCTTTTGACAAAAGTTTTAGTTTCTGTTTGTAGTAGGGTGGTAGGCCTTTGGCATACATTTTCACCCGCAGATTATTGTCTGCCATAATACAAATGGAAATTAGGGGTCCTTTTGACTTTTATTATCTAAAAACAAGCCATGATGCCAACAATATTTTTATATACATATATATTTCATGGTCGGTTAAAGGTGACTCACTCTTCATGTTTATATTTTTTAAGAGTTCGCTGATAAAAAAACCGGCGCGTTGGCTATCCATTTCAAGGTTTTAATACAACCAGACGTTTTTTGCTAGTGTCAGATCGTGATCAATTGCCCATTTCTTTCTTATAGAAACTGATTCATCCGAGAAATCGGCACCAAGAGCTCGAAGGCCAGGCGGCAAGTGCGCCTTTACCAGAAATTATCACGGAACCTGCAGCTGATTGCAGCTCAGCAACGGTGACAAATGTTATAATGACTTGAATTTACGCTATCCACGATTTTTTTTTCAAACAGCTCATGAAAACTATACCACCTAGATCCAAAAACCAAACATGTCTTCCTGTAGCTTTTGAGAATTTTAAAAATTGTAGAATCACATACTCGATTGTACTGAGATTGGTTCAGCAACACCAACCAACATGGAAAACCAACGGCTCAATTACAGTTCTTACAAGCATCAAAATACATGGAAAATTTTAGTAGATGCTGGTCGTAATGGAGTTATAACATATGTAAGTGAAGCATATCCTGGGTCAGTCTCGGACAAAAAAATTGTCGAGCATTGTGAAGTTTTAAAGCAGATAGTTCCTGGAGATCTGGTATTAGCAAACAAAGGTTTCCTAATAAAAGATTTACTTCCGCCAGGCGTACACCTCAATATACCACCATTTCTCGCAATTCCTCAATTTACCGAAGCCCAGGTACTAGAAACCCAAACGATTGCTAGAGCATGGATTCATGTGGAGAGGGCAATACGTAGAATAAAGTGCTACAATATTTTACAGAGAATTCCCCAGTTTTATATGTGTCACATTTCTGTATTATTTCAAACATGTGCTGCACTAACCAACTTTCAATATCCTTTAATTAAGGAGGTAGTAGAATATTATTGCTAGGATGCTAGGCTACAAATATACGATAATTTAATGATAATAAATACTTTTTTTTTGTTTCAATTTTCATTTGAATCTGTTTATTATGAATGTTTAAATTCAGAGCATGCCATTTTCTTGTAACTTTTAATAAAATATATTTATGTAGTTATAATCTTTTATTATTTTTTTATTATTAAACGATATTAAAGCTAAACTAATTAACCTAGGCAAATAATGATCATCATAAAATTTCTCCAAGAGCATTATATTTTCTGCCCAACCATTATCAATTTCCACACTAACTACAATCGCTTCTTTAACTGTCCAAATACATAAAAAAAATCTTTCTTTTGGTCAAGTGTAAATTACCCTCTATTTGGTTGTAATAATTGTGGTTACAATTTAAAACAATATTGTTGTCTTCATTGAAATATATTATATAAGTGGTGACATTTTTCAACTTTTCGGATAATATGTCATTCCGATATGTGTATGGACACTTTACCTCGACAATGATTGACTGATGACTTCTCCTATAAATCCATCAGGACTGGCTTCTAAAATCCCTGAATTTGAACACCAAATTCCGGTAGGTTCTACTTTTAACCCCAAGTTGGTCTCGATATAGTTGATTCCCCTTTTTTAGTTGCTTCTCCCCCCATTGGATAGCTTTAACTCCATCTAAATTATAAGTACCCATAAAATAAATAAACAATTATGTTTTTGTGAAAAGATTTGCATATTGAAAATGTATTAAATATAAACATACCAATAAGAGACTTGAATAGACTTTCAGGAAACTTCTTTCTTTGGCAGGCATTGATTACTGCTCCAAAATTACTTGCTGTTAGGCGGAACTTCCTCATAATCAGCCAAATTTCATTCTGGGCCTGTCCTACAGTTATTTCGGCAATGTGTTACACTGCTGCATCATCCAAAGGGCATTTCTGATGTAAGAAGTCAGCTTTGTTTGAGGCCTGAACAAATTCCTCTGAAGAAATTATATCTTCGATGAGCGGAAGATAACTGTAGTCCTCTCCTTTTGCAGAAGCCAAGAAAATCGCACGGTACTGCCAAACTTGCTTAATTTGGTTCTCAGATCATCACTTTCATTCTCCAAAAGCACATGACTTATAGCTTTGTATTCTTTGCTTGGATACAAGCTACTTGTCCAGCCGTCTTCACCTCACTTGATTTTGTTTTTGGGGCATTCCAAGTACATTCCTTGTCTGTAATTGAAATGTGGTAATGCCCAAACAACACCAAAGCCGCAATATGGTGACACTTAATTCCTTTCGGACAAGAACACTTTGCCTCAGCGATATCACCTGAAGTATTCAAAAATACCTAAAATAATAATAAATAAGAAATGTATTGTTAAAAAACAAAATAATCAAATATAATCAACTCACCTCTACATTATAAGTTTTGTCTTTCATGCTAGCTTGTACTTTCCCTTTCAAAATCATCAGTTCAGCATCAAATTGCATATGCAAAACATGATCTGACTCTAAGGCATTTACTCCTCTCTTAATCATCTTATTGTCGCTTGCTGCGTCGTTCGTTGATGCGATGACGTTTGTGAAGGTAAGATGCTTAAAACTTTTTTAAAAGCAAATTAAAGTGAATTGAGGTTAAGTTCGTATCTTTGTTTACAGAATGGCTGCGAAGCACGTCTTGAAGTTTTCGAGCATCAACGAATTTTTTCATCGCATCATCATTTATGATATATTATATATGATATACTCTTTCCCTGGTGGCAGGGAAGTTATCTACCAATCACTGAAACAAAAGAAAATACCAGAAGAAACCATTCCAATCATGTTAGCTGTTTTTCCTGAAAGCACATTAAAACAATATACAACCTTTTATACAAAATGGTGCGATTTCTGCAGAGAACAAAGAGCTAATCCTTATCAGTATAATTTCAATAAAATACTAGTTTTTCTCTATAAAAAATTTAACACTGGTCTTTCTCATTCAACGCTTAATTCATTACCGATCAGCGTTGCTTAATATAATATCGTGGGCGCTACAGCGAAAATCCACTAAGTCACATTTTTGGTTGATTAAATTATGAGATTGGTTGATTGAATTATGAAAAACCCATTAATGGGTTTTTCATGTTAAAGACCGTGAAAAACTGGACATAGTGGTGTGTTTAATCCAATTCAACCAAAAATGCGACTTAGTGGATTTTCGCTGTACGCCCAAGATATCAATCTCATCAGAAGACGAAAAAATATTAAAAAAGTTTTTTAAAGGAGTTTACAATCAAAATCGTGCTTCTCCGAGATATTCGGTTACATGGGACCCGAGTCCAGTTTTAGAATTTTTAAGCTCACTTTTTCCTTTGGAAAACACTCATAGAGGCCAGACCATAGGCTGTATTTATAAAAAAAGCCGTACCTATTGCTTTCAAAAAATGAAGCAATTCCTTCAAGGTATATGCATAAAGAAAATTGAAGGAAAAGGTCTTCGATGGATTTGCTTTAAAGTAAAAGGTCTTTTGTTTTTCGTATTTACAAAAAGGCATTTGCTTAAAAAATAAAGGTTTTACTTCTAAAAAAGGAATCTAGGTTCACAACAACTTTTCTCACTCTTTTCAGTAGTTGGCCAACCATCAAAAAGCTCGGAACGTCGGAAAAAATTGTCTATTTGTAGTAGTGTTTTTGTATGTTAACATCTACCTAGTAATCTTTGGTTGTGTGGTTTCAGTGTTGTGTTTGTTATGGCTAATATGGTGCATTTCCGTACACGAAAATACTACAAACCAAGACATACCACGTGAATCGGATTTCAAAACGTTATATATTTAGATTTGAGAAGGAGAATGTGGTGTGGTTGGCGGACCACTTTCTTGGCGCGGATCTTGAAACACGTGGAGCAGCCCTATCACCTGTGCAGAAAATGAAAGTATTTCTGCGTTATTGTGCGAATCCTGGATTCCAGAGCTGAATTGCTGAAGAATTGGGATGTACGCAGCCCACAGTGTCCAGAATATTTCATGAGGTGCTTGAGCAGCTTGTACCACAGGCTGGCGAATGGATTCGGTTCCCAAACACAGAAAATCAAATCATGCAGGCCAAAGAAAAATGGTTGACCAGGTTCAATTTCCCAAACAGCCATTGGGATTCTTGACTGCATGCACATTCGTATTGAAAAGCCAGCTCAATTTGGACACGAATATATAAATCGAAAAGGTTTTATCAGTATTAATGTGCAGGCCACATGCGACCAAAATTGTGTTATAACTAGTATAGATGCAAGTTGGCCTGGATCAGTTCATGATTCTCGTATATGGAAGAATTCGGCAGTATGTGAAGTCATGAACAGGACAAGAAACACTATACTACTAGGGAACAATGAATATGGTATAATGTCATGTCTCATGACTCCCCATCCCAACCCCCTCGAGGAATATCAGATAGCCTTCAACAGGCTGCTTAAATCAGAGAGAGTTGTGATTGAGCATATAGTTGGGCATCTGAAACGGCGATTTCCTATTCTAAAGTATGGATGCAGAGTGAAATTTACCAGTATTACTAAAGTTATAATTGTATCTCTGTACCTTTTACTTTATTTAACCAAAGCATTTCCTTGCAAGAAAAAGGTAGAGATTGTAAATACGAATTGTAGTAAAACCTTTTACTTCTACCTTTAACTTGAAAGTAAATGCCTCATTTTTATAATTACGGCCTCATATATAAAATTACTTTAAATAACATTCACCAAGATGCACAAAAGATGGAAATTTGTATACCTGCAAAGATCAAGACTTCGGGCAAGAACAGGAAACAACCATGTCTTGTTTTTCCTTATTTTAAGGACAAACCCGAATGGTATATAGCCAGTACACTGAATAATTACGTAAAACGAACAAATTCTATTCGAGGTAATAATGACACATTAATTTTGACACATAAAAAACCACATCACTCGGCTTCTACGCAGACTAAAAGCTGGTGGATAAAAACAGTTTTAGAGAAAAGTAAAATAGATACTACTATTTTTAAAAGTCACAGCGTGCGTCATGCAAGTACCTCAGCGGCATTCAGATCAGGTTTAGATACTGACTTAATTCGTAATACTGCAGGATGGACCGAGTATTTTTAAAAGAAAATGCTCCTCTGGTAAAAGGAGAAAAAGAACTAGAAACTAATATAAATAATCTTAAAGATTTTAGTTTAAACTTTAAAGGAATAGAACTATGCATAAATTATGACATGATTTTATCTATGCTGGACGGTAGTACTGTAAATATATTATCAGACACTCACAGTTCGCAAAGATGCGTTATTTGTGGTGCTTCACCCATAGAAATGAATTCCTTTGAAGTTTATAAAAAAAACAATAAAACCGGACAACCTTAGATTTGGTATATCATCCCTTCATTTGTGGATTAGGACATTTGAGTGTTTGTTGCACATTGTGTATAGGTTACCTATAAAATGCTGGAAAGTGAGAACTAAAGAAAATAAATTAATCTTTGAAGAAACGAAAAAAAGGATACAATCGGAATTTAAGAAACAAATGGGCTTAACAGTGGATAAACCTAAACCAGGGTTCGGATCCACAAATGTCGGGAACACTAGTAGAACCTTTTTCAAAAATGCTTCTCTTTCTTCTTCTATTACCGGAATTGACGAAAACCTCATAATTAAGTTTCACAAAATTATAAGAATTGTAAATTGCGAGCAAAAGATTCAGTTGGAAAAATTTAGTAATTTATTAAAAGAAACTTTTCAGTTATATTTGCAATTGTATAGTTGGTTCCATATGCCTAGTTCAATTCATAAGTTACTTGTACATGGTGTAGACATAATTAAAAATTTTGATTTCCCATTGGACAACTTGCAGAAAATGCGTTAAAAACGCGTCACAAAGAAGTCCGTAAATTAAGATTACATCATAGCAGAAAATGTTCGAGGGAAAATTCCAACAGAAACTTGATGACTAGTTTATTACTAACTTCTGATCCGTACCTAGCTTCTTTAAGAAAAACTACGACAACAAAAACTGAAACTGGTGACAACATCTTATATTTGATGATCATAATTCTGACTCAGATCAAGATCTAATAAATATGGAAGGGCTACATCTAAATCTTAAGTGATCAAGATATAGATTAATTTTATTTCATTCCTTTTTGGACATTCTTTCTTATCCAAGATCAAAATTATATACTTCGGATACGTAGATATTCATTTGCCTTTTTTTTTAATTTTTAAATGAATTTTCATGTATCGCTAAGTTTTAAAGGGTTTGTTTGTTTTATTTGTTACATGAACATTTTTTATTTATTTTAGAGGTTTTGTACCTTTATCGTAAATGATTCTATACAGGAAAGTACCTACTTTTTATATTAGGGGTTATAGATTAATATCGGAGTAATTTTTTAATTTGGTTTTCACTGAAACATTATGTTTTTACGTACTTTTTCTTACTTTTTCTACAACTTATATTATACATTTATTTATTATTTTAGATTAAAATATAATATACTTTGTATATATTATAATCAATTTCTTCTAGAAACTATTTTGTTCATTAATATTTATATTTTTTTTGGAATAGCTTGCCAGTGAGTGTCTACAATTTTCTATGTAGTATATAAGTACACTACTATAAAGTGATAAAGCAAGAAGCTAAATCATTTGTTTTTTATAAATTTAATCTTTAAAAAAATATATCAGCTTTCTTTTTTAGCTCCATGATTTCAAATGTTTTAACCCTACCTCTTAACTCTTTAACTACCCCCTAACAAAATTCAACTTCTTTCTATATTATGAGACACCATAAAGAGTAGTACCAATTTTTTTTTCAAATTAATTAAGCCATTCAAATATATGATTTTTTTGTAGCGCCAAAGGTTAACAATCGTTGGCCGAATTATTGTAATTGTCAAATAAGCAAGTTATTGGTTACTATTAACTGCTTACTATTAATAGATTGTACTACTTTCCGATTGCAATATGTATTGTCTACATAATTACAAAATGATACTAAATTATTCGAACATCGTGCAATCAATAAATGATATACTTCAAGAGTTACCACTTGTGCTTTAATTAACATTACATGGCGATCCTGCCGAAAAAAAAATCAAGTAAAAAAAAGAAAATTTTCTTTTTGGAAAAGTGGCGTGGTGAAATTTATGTCGGCATAAAAGTTTAATATGTTGTGCTATTATTTGTATACAAAGAAGAAAAATACTTAAAATGGGCTATAGCAAGTCCACACAACAGGACCTGAAGGAGAATGGTTCAGTTAACTCCAACTTTATAGTAACCCAAGAGGAATACAACGATACATTGAACGTTAAACTGGTGCTATACCTAATATTGGTATTGTTGGTAGTAGCAGTAGGACTTCGCAGTGTGCCTACGTGTCGGAAACGCGAGTTTTCGAAAAACTGCCATAGGGTAACTACCCTCTCGTAAGCCATATCGACCAATGCCGCGTAATTGGGTTAAACTTATAGTGCAGAGTGGTATCCTAACTTTAAGGATTTAGTAAAAGTATGTAAGTGACCTAGAGTTTAACTTATATTCGTATTATTTTTAATTTTAGTTCTTTTTGGAATGATAATCAATACGTATGTATACGTTTGTTTCATAATATTTATTTTATTTAACTTTAATTGTCTCGGCAGGCTGAAAACCAAGAGTTATTATTGAAACTAGGAAAAATAAAAAAAAGAGCTTCAATTACAGGCTAAAAGGGCAAATTGTCGAAAAATATCTCTGCCGATCATGCAGAAAATGCGGTAACGTTTATTAAAACTCGGTTAACAGGTAGGGTGACAACTGAACAGACAATTGATGATATTATAAATAAACTGCAAAATAATATTAAAGGCGATAGCTCATGTTTATTAAATGCAAAAATCCTAAACTGTAAACAAAATAGTAAAGATGCAGCGACCTTCGCGGCAGAAATTGAGCCCTTGACCGGCAAATTACAAAATGCGTACATCAGTGAGGGTGTACCGTATCATGTTGCGAAGAACTATACAACCCTATTTTTCTTGTGCCAAAAAAATCCGTAAATAGACAAAAGGCATATCGTTTAGTAGTAGATTTCAGACAATTAAATAAAAAGTTAATTGCCGATAAATTCCTCTTCCAAGAATTAACGATATCTTAGACCAGCTAGGAAGGTCAAAGTGGTTCTCGGTAGTAGACCTAGCATCGGGTTTCCATCAAGTTACTTTAGACGAAGAGTGGCGTGATTTAACATCTCTTAGTGTAAGGGATCATTTAGGTTTACTAGGTTACCGTTTGGCCTCTCAGTAAGTCCAAACAGTTTTCAGAGGATGATGACTATCGCCTTTGCAGGGATAACCCCGGAAAGGGCGTTCTTGGACATCGAAACGTCTCAAAAGTATAATCTGAAAATAAATCCCGAAAAGTATTCATTTTTTTGAAAGAAGTTACTTACTTAGGTCACAAAATCACCGACCAAGGCATTCTTCCGGATGACTCAAAATATGACGTAATTGATTAGGTATCCAATACCACAAGCGCCCCATGAAATTCGGTTAATATCCTCATTCATTTCATTTTAATATCTCATTAATCTTCCATTGAGTTCTACAGGGAAGTCACCTGGGTCCGTTATTATTTATTATCTATGTTAATGATATAAAAAATTGTTTTCATTTTCCAACTATTTGTTATATGCGGACGACTTAAATTTTTTTATGAAAATTCGTAACATCAACGATGCGCTTTTATTTCAGTCTGAATTGGACAATTTTAAGAATTACTTTTCCAAAAATAATCTCTTTCTAAATCCGCAAAAATATTTCATGATCTCATTCAGTCGTAATCACAATAAGATAGTGTATAACTACAGCTTTGGTGACATAAAGCACGAAATCTAGGTGTATTCTTTGATGAGAAAATGATTTTTGGCGAGCATATTGAGTTTATTGTTTCTAAAGCATTTAGAATGCTAGGATTTATAACAGGCAGGCTAGACAATTCACCAGCAATAAAGCTTTGCTCTCTTTATATTATGCATATGTATACAGCCAGTTGAACTTTTCATCCTCAGTGTGGAATCCAATATAAAATATTTATATAAATAGACTAGAGCAGGTACAAAAAAGATTTGTTAAATATTTGGGATATAAAAACAATATTAACGACTCTTATATATCTATGTGCAACCGATTTAATATATTAACTTTAGAACATCGTAGAATAATTACTGATGTAGCAGTATTATATAAAATAATAAATTCTCAAATCGATTCACCTTATCTCTTGTCTATGATTTCATTTAATGTTCCAACAAAAAATTTAAGATTTACGTCCCTTTTCAAGAAGACATTTTCTCACACAAATAGTGCTGCCCACCAGTTAACAGAATGCTGGAGTTTGCCAATTCCTACTGCACGGATTTTGACTTTTTTCTGATAATTTGTTTGCCTTAGATATACATTAAAACGACAATTTATGAGTGTATAGCATATCCAGATATTATACTCTTGAATAGTAAATTTGTATTTATAAGTTATTTCCTTTTTTTCTATGGTTTAATATCTATAATTTAATTTTTTACATTTAATATATAATTATTGTACTCCTTATCGCGATTCCTTTGCTTGTATTATTTCATAGTGTTTTTATTTCATACTTTTTTGTTTAAATTTTAAACATATTGGTGTTGATGGAGTATTGACTTAGTTTGTGTATATATAGAAAAAAATTGTAATTCTAAGAAAAAAATATTATAAATTTAAAATTGGTTATTATTATTGTTATTGGTATTTAGATATGTAAGCTGTGGACACTCTAATTTTGGGACTTGTCCTGTTTGTGTTCCGACTAGAAATAAATAAATTAGTGGAACAATGAGATTAATACTCTTAACCTTACCATTGTGCCTTACACTACATGTAGTCAGAGCACTAATCGCGTATGACTGTGGAAACTACAACAATAATCATATACAAGCATCAACATTAAATACACTGAACCTTGCATTGTAAATCACATCGACACATCAACTTCTGACGTTCATAGAAACTTGTTCATTTAACTCATAGAAATGTCAGGGACCTTTAATACTAAAGTTTTCAGTTGTCTAGTGGAAATTAAACGACTTGTAACTCATTGTGGCATGCATAGTTACAGCTCGATTGTCGAAAACCGATATGCTTCTTTTGTGTACAACCTTGTAAAAGAGAGATGTCTGGAAGCTCATAAGACCGGAACAATGACACCGGAACAAACACTACCGGAAGCCGGTAGTGAGAGCAGGTTGATCCGCATTATGACAAACACAGCGTAGAATTAAATTTCTATATTAGCAGTTAAGTAGCAAGAATCCTTATATAATTTTATTATATACCTCTACTGCAAGACATTTGTTTTCTATTTTATAATTTGGCTTGCCTGAAAAAAAAGCCTTTTACCATCCTTTTACTATCGATAGTTGCGCCTCGGTGGTACGAAAGTACTACCATTGCACGCAGGCCGCTATCTCGCGTTTGGGACTTAATATCTAACCAATACTTTCCGACAAGTCGGAATTAACTATCTCTGCGCTGTGGTTGTCATTTTGTGGATCTCCCAAGCTCACCTGATGATGGAGTAGGGCTCCGAAACCGGTAGTGAGAGCAGGTTGATCCGCATTATGACAAACACAGCGTA